AAAATCTAGAGGTATTTGGTTTATATGGTTTGGTCGTGACTAATATTGATATATAATTGGAAGCGAGTGGTTTCAAACCACTAATATTGATTCATGATTTCTTCATGCAGCTCCTTAACGAAGTAGAGACAGAACTTTTTACCATCGGGCCTTTCATTTCGTACGTGGGCATTCTTGCTTTCTTTGTCCACCGATGGCTGTCGAATAAAAAGTTCTTTCACTGCGGATCGTTATCATCTATAAGTGCAACATATTCGAGTTAGCGCAGTCGATTTCCCCATAAAGCGCGTATGATCCGTGGTTCCATCTTCTACGGAGCCCATAACCAATGTGCGAAAAGGTCAATAGATCTTTCGTAGAATAGATTTCTTCAATATATTCAAACCCTTTTCATTTCTATTCCATATTAACGGGCGGTTATAATAGGACATTGATGGAGCATGACTTCTGTTAATCGGGGGCCCGCTCTGGTTTTCAGTTGCCTACCTTTCGGGACTTGAATCGTATCGCTTCAATTCTGCTTAAGCTACATATATACATACATATAGGCATACCATACATAAATATCTTTAAATTAAAGTTCTTTGGCTCCCAGTTTTTTTTTCAAATCCATAATAAAATTTTTTATTGGCCCATTAACAACTTAAATTTTATACAAAACACACCTGCTTTAAGAAAGTATTGACGTAAATAACATCAAGTTTCTTCATACATAAAAGTCGTTCTCCACTTTGCTGTGAACTTAAAAATTTGCATAGATTATCGAAATTTAAAAAAACGATAGAACTACTTAATACGTTTTGTCTTGTTAGCAATTGTTTTATTTCATATCTGACACGCGTTGAAATATTTATTTATTTTACTCATGAATATGGATGTACATATAAACTGTTATAGTATGTAGGTATGTAAAAGATTACGTAAAGAATTCTAATGGCTCAGCGACGACGACTGATATAATTACATAATTTGGAAGGAAAGCATAATTCCATAAATATGTATACAAGCACGTGCATATTAGGGTGGTCCTTAAAATATCAGCATCTAAAATTTGGATATCTAGTTACGTACATAATAAAGACATCCAAGAAAATGTTAAACTAATTGTATGGGTCGTTGCCAGGCCTTGAAAATATTTAAATTAACCAATTTGATATATTTATTTTGTTATCATAGAAAAACATGAGTTTCTTGGTATTTTTCCAAGACAACTATTTGTTAACCAGTGTTATTTAGTTCTGGGGAATAATTTTACAAATTTGATACTTATTTTGAAACAAACGTTATCAAATAACAGTCTTTGAAGCTTAGTATTACATGTAATGAATGTATTTTTAGTAATACATCAAATTTTTTGAAATTTTGAAATTTTCATAGGAGTCTTTATCTTAAAAAAAAAACAAAGATTTGAAGCAAAATATATATCTAGCAATGTGTTTTACAACTAATTGCTTTAATTTAAAATACTTACAGGGATGCCACTGTCGAAAAAAATAGTTATCATCCACTTGAAAAAAATCTACCAAATGTGGAAAATATCTACCAATTACCTTTTTTGAGTCATTTTAATAAAAACTATATTTGTGTTTTTGAAGTAAAAATGTTTTTGCGTTTTTTTTTTGTTGTTTTTTTTTTGTATAAGAATTTATTTGCGCTTTACTAAACTCATAAAAATCAAGCACTCAAGCTATATACCAGGGTTGTTGCGAATATTCGCATTCGCTTTCGCATTCGCAATAATCAATGCGGATCTTTTCCGAATATCTTTCATATGATATCAAATTTGCTTAATTTGGATTAGCGCTTTGTTTATTATCAGGAAATGACTTTTATTTCAGAATAAAAAATATTTGGCTAAGTTTAACTCGTAAAAAAATAACTGTTATTTTCGGTCACAGAAGAAAGGATTAAAAATTAATTATAAAAACTAAAACCGAAAAACGCTGATGATGTTACAAAGTAATTTTCAAGTGAATAATATGTATCTTTTTCTGGCTCAATATAATATTTTCTTCTTTTCCCTGTGCCTGTCCAAGTGAATCATAAGAAAAAATAATAGCAAATTTTTCGTGTTGTCTAATAAATAGTCATTATATACTTCTTACATTTGAAATTTTTTTGTTCTTACTCACTAGTATCTTTTTCAAATCGATCTTTCTTTTTGGTGTGACTAAAACAAACGCTTCCCCGATATCTACAAGTATGTATGTATGTATACAAAGTTCTTGAAGAAAAATTATGTACCTACTCAAATAAACGGACTATGTACATTAGACCGCACCGCCTTACAAGCAAACAAAAAAGCAGGGACGGAAAATAATCTTTTTTTTTTTAATTTGAACCAAAAAAAATCGACAAGCTGTAATCGTCGTAAAACAGTTTTAACAATACTGACGTACGTCTTACTGTAATTTACAATTCGGTTGCTCACACTTTTTAATCTTCATCTACATATTCCTCTTCACCTTTGTCTTTTATAAATATTCAAATGCCGAAATACCTACACACACATACTTTTTGTCTCCTTCTCTCACTTCCAGCGCATGCACGTGCTTGCAAAATGATGACGAAGTGATTTGGTATGGAAAATCATTTATGCCCATATATTTGAATAAAATAAACATACTTAGAACCAATACTTCCCATATACCAAATGAAAGGAAAAATCTTGAATTTTTGATTAAATGAAACAAAAGCAAAATCATTCGAGCGGTTTTCGAGAATTTTGGAATAAAAAAAAATTTTTAATTTTTTCAACAATTTTTTGCCTTAAAATGCTCGATATTTGTTGAATCTATGCTACGCTACGAAAAACGAAAAATCCACATGCTGCAACCCTTGCCGAAACATGTGCAGCATTGCCAGCTATCAGTTGTTTTTCGAAGATAGCTGAATGAAGGAAAACCAAGTCGAAAGGAATTAAAAAAACACTCATCATGTGCTTGTTTATTGTAAAATTGGTTAATTTTACATATTTTGAGGAAAATTATGGATTCTGATGTATTTGCAATTATAGCAGCAGAGTAAGCGGGCGCTATGGCAATGGATTCACAAAGGTATGCGGAGCTGTCGGGCATAGTAACCATGGGCGCATCTATCTATGTCAGCTTCTGGTTGAATTGTTGAGCCCCAAGCCAGAACTCCTCATATGCCTGAAGCTCTGGTTCTCAATCCAGTTAATGCAATAACAGCATCCTCCAAGCCATTGAAAACATGCACTTTGTTAAGTCCACCACCCGTTGCGCTTGCTTCTGCCTTCGGCCGCGCTTAGGAATTCCAACCCTTACTAAGTAGAATTCTCCTTTCTGTGTTGCGGGGAAGAGGGGCTTCCGCATGTCAAAGGTATACAACATTTCTTGTGCATATCAATCACTCCGACTACGCGGTCCACAGTATTTTTGCGCAGAACCAACGTCGAAATTTGCAAAAAAAAAGTGCATAGTGCAAACCGAGTTTATTAACAAGCTAGTGGTAGGAAATTTGAAACATTTACCTCAAATAAAATGTGAATCATTTGATTACACGTGTTTGTTAAAGTTTTTGGATTCGGGTTATGCGTTTGTACACAACAACCGAAAATCATTGTACAAATAACTAAACCGGACTCGTTGCTCGTTTATATAAAGCAGTGGATAAAAATATACGTACATATGTATATGCGAAAGGCAAATTTATCTGTTTAAATAAACAGCACCAATACTTCTTGCAAGCACACATCGATTTACATCTTTTATTTCGCCTCCGACACAGAATTGTTTTCGTACAAAATTACGCAAAAAAGCTTACTCGTTCGTTTTTAGGCATGCCATTGTTACGCATTTCGAAAGTTCGAAAATACGATTCGGATTGCAGCATACTATTTCTACGATTCGTAGCAAAATCCGAATACAAAACAGTTGCAGAATAGGGGTGTATATAAAATTAATATACTATAATATTTCTACTGGTCCAAAGAACCTATATCTAGAAAATGAAATATATGTATACCTGCAAATCATAAGCTGCCGGAGCACTTTAAAGGCTCAAAATTGACCCCAAATTAAGCCGATATTTACCTTTGTTTCTACGACAGATACCGAATCGGTTACTTACAGAAATCTATCTGTCGATAGGTTTGGAATTTTGTCTTTGAATCGCCACACTTCTCTTCGAAATCGCTTTACTGGTTCTCGTGTAATAAGATATTTCGTGAAGCTCTAAAAATTACAACTACAACATTTGAGCATAGTCTCCATCAAGGCGAATTTATATAAGGTGGTGTTGTTTCATCAGCTGTGAGTAGCGTTTGATTGTCAAAATTTTGAATTTCATTAGTGAGTGAGTGAAAACGTGAGAGTGCTTGCATTTTCTGTCGCCCTTTTTCATTCGTGGAAGAATAGATGAAATTTGACAATGGCCCGCTAAAAGCAAAAACAAAATACAAGTCATTGTTGTATTTGTTCAATCGATACCTTATATGTATTCGCCTTGGTCTCCATATCGAACGTTGGATGTAACTAGGGTCCTTTTCAACATTTTTCATGGCAACTATGTAAAGAGTTCTACTGGAATAATCAAAATAGTACTTTCTTAGCAAACGTGTAATGAATTTTGGTGAGCCTAAATTTACCGACATTGGGGAGGTGGGAACTGAGATCTGACAAAAAAATTGCTTAAGAGTTCTAATGATTTTTAGTAAGCTTAAATTTTCTGACATAGGGATAATAAGAACCGAGATATGGTGAGTACTAAAGCAGCGTACTTGAGGTCAATGAACTTTGGCATACAAAAAAAATTTTCTCATCGAGGTTAAACTGGCTATTTTTGGAAAAGAAAAAACTAAGAAATATTTATTATTTATGAACTACGTAAACTATAACATATCAATGCAAGTATCACTCTCTCGTAGTTGTGGCTTCGATTGGCAACTATACATATGTACATACATATATTATCTATATATTAAAATTCATCCAATAATTTATAAATATATTGAAAATTTGTTTTCTTGTTTTTTTTAGATGCACCTGTAATATTAACATTGCCGCATATGTTGGGTGCCTCAAACGAATACACAAGGATGATACGTGGTCTGCGACCGGACGCGAAGAAGCATCAAACCTTTGTAGATGTACAACATGTAAGACCGATAAATGACAAGAAAAAAAATTTTTAATACAATGAACTAAAATAAAATTAAACAAAGTAAAATTAAGTAAAATCAAATGAAGTAAAATGAAATAAAAAAACTTACACTTATACTTACTTGCCACAGAATCCCTATTCGCTTTCATCTAATTGCAAACATTCCAATTTCTTCACCAATTTCAGCTCACTGGTACCCCGCTGCAGGGTGGCAAACGCGTTCAATTCAATNACACCATAAAATCGGAGGAGCTCAGGCCAATAAACACCCTTCCCAACTTAGAAAAAATACTGGAAACGGTTGTAAAAAATCAACTATTAAACTATATTGAGTCAAATAAAATACTCATTAAGGAGCAGTCAGGTTTCAGGGCTAACCACTCATGCGAAACAGCTCTAAACTTGATCCTATCACAACAATGGAAGGAGGACCTGAACTCCAAGAAAACTATCTTGGCGATGTTTTTTGGACCTTAAGAGAGCCTTCGAGACAATCGACAGGGAAATAATGCTAAAAAAAACTCGAATATATTATAGTATAGATAACATCGAACTTACATGGTTCCGTAGTTTTCTTTCTGATAGAAAGCAACAAACGGTGATTGACACAGCTCTATCCACAAAGGTAGCAGTAGATATTGGTCTACCACAAGGGTCGGTGTTAGCTCCAATACTCTTTAATATTTATATCAACGACATAAACTCTAGAGCAGCTAACGTTAGCTCCCACGATTGAGAGAATACAAAGGTTGCGCCGATCTCGGACCACTATTCCTCTCTTAACGAATTTGACAGAATCGTTGTTTGCATGACGTCACACTTGTGCAACTTGTTTACGTTTTCCTTGCAACATTTTTTCTTCTTCTTCCATTCTTGCTCACGTTTTGGCATTCCGCTCTCGCAATTTCACCAGTGTGACGTCACACAAAAGTTATTCTCAAAAATCCTCTCTGATCGGCGCAATCTTGTATTCTATCATTCTTGGTTAGCTCCGATAATTACAGTTTAAAAATTAAAGATGAAGTAATTGAGAAAGTGAGAATCATTAAATATCTATTTAGGTATATATATCGATGATAAGTCAAAATTTGAGGAACATATTGACTACACAGTAGCTAAAATTGGTAAAAAAAATTGATCTCATGAAAAGATCATGTAAGTACTTAGGAAGGAGGTATAAGACTCTGGTCTACAGATCTATAGTTGAACCACATTTCATATACTGTCCAACAATCTTTTCTATAGTAAGCGACACAAAAATAGATAAGCTTCAAAAAATGCAAAATAGGGCTATGCGATTTATCTTGAACAAGCGGTAGGACACACCCATACAGGAAAAGATCGCAGAATTAAAATGGCTGAGCGTGAAACAGCAAGTTTTCTAACACGCTATGAAATTTGTGTTTAACATAAAACAAGGTCGTATTTACTCAGTGGAAATAATAGCTTCAGGCTGCCGCTGTATAAAACGGAAATAGATAAGAAGAATATCTTTTATAAGGGATTAAAATGTTATAATGAACTTCCAGCTCAAATACAAAATTGTGAAAACGTTGGTACCTTCAAAAGGCTGCTACTTGATCACTGTAGAACATTGGCTATCAGATAGAAAGGTCCGGCATGGAAGCCAGTCCTTTCCATCCGTACTACATAGCTGGATGACTCTGGATCTGGATTAGTCCATTCAGATCACCCATAATGTATGAAATAAGAAGGTCGGCATGGAAACTAGTCTTTTCCGTCCGATCAAATAGCGCGACTCTGGATTTCGTCCATTCAGATCGCCTGCTGGTAGAGAAGTTTATAAGAAGCCGCTTGGAAACCAGTCCTTACCAACCGCTCAGTTGTGGCGGTTCTGGAAATTATACTCTTAGACCACATCTCGTACGTGATATATTTACGGTACTGCTTGCAATCCCGTCCATTCCAACAGCATCGAGAATATGCTATCTTAGTTAAATATACATACTATTATATAGCTTAGAAGGAAAAGTGTAACAGGTTAACTTATTTTAAGCGTTAAATTTAACATTACTTTAATTATATAGTGCAATACATAATTCAAATGTATATACGTGAATGTATATAGGTCAAATGACTGTAATAAATAAATAAAAAAAAACATGTGTGTTGGTTCTATGGTACCATGAACCTATATATAATGTGTCGTTCGTTCATGCTAGGGATGTGCGATGTTAACCGATGCATCGGAAACATCGATGACATCAATTCGAAGCATCGAATAATGTCCCATTGGTCGATGCATCGGGATTTATTCGATGCTTCGAATTGAAGACATCGATGTTTCCGATGCATCGGTTAACATCGCACATCCCTAGCATGAACGAACGACACATTTTTGCTTCAAAAATTTATCAAAAACCAGAACTTGCAGCTTAAAATGCTTAGCAACCGTGCCTCTGCAACTATGGGCAATTTATGGCGACTATTTACCTTATTGGATTATCGACTCAACAATATCAGATTTCCGTAACTAACTTCAATCGAAATATTTTACCAAAGCGCCACAATAGCATAATAAGCATTGAAAGTTATATTTGCTTATTTCGTCCTACAAATAATTTATTTTATGCAAATATATATACAAATATATAGTGACAAACGAATTCATACACAAACAAATAAATCGCCTTTGTATTAAATATTTATTTAAATGAATATTATCTCGTATAATGTAATTTTTTCCCATTTAGTGTGGTCATTTCTGAAATATCTTTATCCTCGTGCCAGCAGTATAAAATTACTAATACTGAGATCGATAACCAAAGAAAACACGACTATTGTTGTAAGAGTATCTGTTTGATAAAGTTATCGGTTTAGATGAATACCACTATTATATTCAAGTTATATAAAGAAAAAAATTAACTCCATATTCTTATAAGCATTTTCTATTTATTACAATTTATTCCCAAATGAAATTTACAAAGAGAAAGGCTAATTCTCAAATAGCCCAATTCTCAAATTTTGAAAAAGCATCGATGTTGCCAAACAGCAATGTTTCTCCAGTTCTACCCACTAGCGGTTAGGTCCAGCAATAGCCGTTTTTGGGATGCCCTATCGCTAAACCGGTTCAAGATTTTTATCTCCATTGCAACAATAATGTTGTAGTGCATTTTCAACGGAGTAATTTAAGAGCGTAATATCTCCAAACGAAAATCGCAGTCTGGTAGCACGCTTTTGACGTTTTGCCTTGACCACTCCGCTCGACAAATCTATTACAAAATAAAATTTCGCCGTTTGCAAAGCGAGTGCGGGCTGCGACGGAGCCGAGCATAAACAAATTTTATCGAAATTACCGCGGAAATCTCAATCAAATTTCCACAAAATTACGCAAAACGTGTTACAGAGTGTTTAAATATTAAGTAAAAAGTGAATGTAACAACTCATCGATCGTTGGGAAGCCGTAAAATTCATACAAAATACTTGCTGTCCCACACGGTGTGTTTTTCGGTGAAATACGAGAAAAGAAGTGTCACAGAGTGAAATTTCCTCCCCTCTGCCGTCTTCGTGTCGTTGCATTCGTATACCTATCGCATTGTAACGAAAAGATTTCTATACTTTAATTTCATTTAATAAGTTGGATCGAAAAATGTGCAGTGTATTTAATTAGTTTCTAAAATTTCCAGTAGACAGGAAAAAAGTGAAAAAGACGAAATTTGGTATGCGACTTCATATCTCGTCGGTATCGGCGATCATAAATCTCAACCACATTCAGTCCGCAAAATCAATTGTGTGGTGCTCCGTCTGTTTCACGAGCGGATGTATGTAACGCGTTAACGAAAACGAAATCTCCGACTACGTTCAGAAAAAAAGGTAGCCAGCTAGTAGCTATTAACGCTTTCTCTGTTAATTATTCTTTATCGGCATGTATGCTTCGAGTGGTTCTTCGTAGGATTTTTATTGGCAGACTTTAAGAGCTGCCAGCAAATTTAAAACGACATCGGCACTTTGATAGCAGTCAAAAATTTATGGGAAGTGTATGGTAAGAAACACTTAAAATTTTAAATTTTTTTGAAATGTATTTTCATATTAGCCACCTCTATGTGATAGTGAACGGAGTTGACAGATTTTAAGCCATTATTGATAAAAATTAGCTTCTGTGTTCTCGCTTCCACACACACAGAAGGATGTAAATATTTGTTATGAGCCGTCGAGGAAGGAGATGGCAAAATTGCGTCTTACAGCCCTATTCGCGTGTTGTCACTGTCGTCAATTGTCATTATCTTGTCATCAACTTTAGTCATAGGTATGCACAGTCAATAATGACAAGCGAAAAGCGTGTTTTGTAGTGAAACAGCTTTTCTTAGTTTACATTTTAATTGTTCTTTTTGACGTCGGAAATGTGAGCAATTTTATTATATGAAAATTCGTTTCATTGTATTATGAATTCGTGTATTAACGGAAGTTGAAAATGTGTATGCACCACACAAGAGCAGCTGCAATACTATGTGCCGTTTTGTCTCGGAGTTCCCTCAGAAGTCTTCTATGTATAATTTCTTTTTGCCCCACAATAATAGCCGCGCACATAATAATTATTTCTTCAATAATTAATATTCTGCAATTGATACAATTATGATATGCAAACGCCAATATTAACTTTTTAACACTCCTGTTTATGCAAATAAAATGGTTTATCAAGTTTTTATTTAGTAAAAAATTTAACCTTTTTTCTTCCAAAGTAGTAAAATTTAAAATATCAACGTATGTTTTAGCGTTGTCACGAACTCAATAGGTCATCACAAAAATAATAGCAATTGTCAACGTTGAAGCTTGACAATAGTTAGGGTTAATCCCTAAATTGTTTTCTATTTCTCGCATGTGGAATTATGATTATGGGTAAAATGATACTGAAATTACACCAGTTTTAGTAATAAAACAGCTTTCTCCATTTATTTTCTGGATATTTGGCTATAAGCAAATTCATGGTGGAATTAAAATTAAAATAAAAAAATAATAAAAATACGATAGTGTCAAATCTTTCTCTCCCTCTTATTACTACACCTGGCATAATTTCACCATGGGGTAAAATTGTTATGTCACCTGCATTTTTTTTTATGTAATGAAAGTAGACATCGCTTTTGATGTTGATAACTTCAATAATTTTCGTTAATGTTAAGGATGTAAACAAGTCTGCAAGTCATCGTCGATCTTTTTATGATTTATGTGCTTTAAAATTACGATGTGGCAACACCATCACACGATTGACATTTTACATCGCTTATCTATTTTACAAGCTAATCTATTACGATATGAAATTTCGCCGTTTTTCCTTTTAATCGTTTTTCGAGAAAATGGCGGCGTCTTCTGCCAAATTTTTTGTACACCAAAATCAAAATAAAGCAAATTCTTCTAGTCCCCAAACTATTATCGCTAGCCAATACAAGGAAATTAATGAGGACGACGGAACTCAATACCCCGAATTCGAAACTAGGGATTTTGGAGGGGATTTTACGTATACAGATGGCGGAGATATAGTGAATGAAGAATATGATGATAAAATTGGTTATAAAAGCGTCAGTGACAGAAGGTCAGCAACAACTGTGGCCGCATTTGGTGGTGGAGAAGGCAATGAAGCCTTTGTTGACATTGAGGAGGTGATTTCCACAAAGACTGTAATCGTGAGCAGCAATTCTGGTAACGGCAGTTGTAGTGACAACAAACGTGATCCTCTGCAGCGCCATTTATCAAGTGCGAACTTCACAGCTGTACCTGAAGGTAGCAAACATAGCGAGTATATCGTGTTCGTTTTATGCTACATTCGCCTAGAGGGGGTTTTAAAAGTGCAGCATTTAGGCCTGGTCGGGCGGGTGACTGAATGAAAGTATGAAAATAACGAAAACAAGTAAAGATTGGGATGATTGTAGTAGGATCTGTCTAGATAGCAAGACTCTACTAGGTTCGTTAAATAATTCCTTTTGTGTTGTTAACCAAAAAAGCGAAATTTTCAGCAAATGCATATTATAATGAATAAATCGTAATAATTTGTCTTATATGTATTTCTAGAAATCAACAACAATTGGAGTGATATAAAAAATTCATCTGAGCAAACACTAAATATACCAAAGAAGTCTGAAAGCGACGACAATTGGGGTGAGGGGATCGGTACGAAGTTCGCATATCAATTACAAACACAAAACTTAGATCAACATACTTCGTGGACCCCCAACGAAGAAGCGTCTGGGCTGCAGCCTGTTGCGAAAACGTCGGATCAGCATAAAAATCTGTGTACCGATAAATCAGCGAATAAACTACCAACAAAAATACTCAACATACGAGCGCCGTCATCGTCATTGGCGTTAACGTCGTTGTCGTCACCGGCATCGTCGTTTGCAAACTTCGCCATGAATTCCAGCCAACCAACGCAAGCGCCGGGCAATCGCATAACCTTTACAAGTCAAACTCTTCCTAACGGCACTATAAATATTGGAGGAGCCGCTGGTCATCCCGCAGGCTCAACAATTATATCGACCTCCCAATTGCCCAATACGACCACAATTAAGACAATAACGTCAAGTGGAGCAGGAGGCGGTCAACAGCACCATTCTCTGCCGCAGCAAGTACAGGTACAACATCATCAAGTGCTTCAAACTGGCGGACAACCAGGTGTGGCGGGTCAACCGTCGCAGCAACAGCACAATGCAGCTAGCCAGTCAGTAGGTGCAACACAGACGCAAACCTTAGTAATAAAATCAAACAATGCGGTATCATTGCCAGCGGGTCTGGTTTCAAGTGCACCAGGAATAGTTACAATGACCAAAACAATCAATCAGGTACGGCGACCCGATGTGGCGCCCATACCGAGCCAGGAGAGAACTGCTATTATTTATAATGTCACTAGGGCAGTCAGTAGATGTTCAGTGCTCGGTGCTGCTAAGTTATATTATTTCTGTCGAGGCGCCCTAACATTTTATTGTAGATATGTATTGTATGTATTTCTAATGAGCAGTAGAATACTTATGGGTATTTTGTACCTTGTGTGTTTTATGATTATTTGATGAGCGCTTCGGTCCTTCAAAGTATCACAAAAAAAAATAAAATGGCGATCAGCATGAGTATGCGCTACGTAAAATTCAATTCACATTGATTATCTGAATGGAGAAATTGTTGCATTCAATTTATGCTTGACCAAAGTTTATTTCTGAATGTTTTTTTTTTATTTATTGTGACAGCAAATTTATTTCGAATTTAGTAGATAGTTTTTTTCATTTGTCCACATTTATTCTAAATTTTGAATGCAGCTCAAAAAGGAAGTTAATTGTGCTCTTTTTCGTTTATAGCTTGTGAAGGGCTTGTTAAAATTTATCTGTCCGCGAGAAAGTTGCTGATGAGAATCAATAGCATGCTTTATTACATAATCTCAATTTAAGTATTTACAATAGTATACCCATTTATTAAAACTTTACACTTGTTCCTGATATATCTAAGTAAGCATACATACATACATGACATTTATAAGCTTTTAGCATCTTGCTTTTGGTGAATCTGTGTGACTGGTGAACCGATTCTTCTTACCAACGTTGTCCTGCTAGACGCTTCGTAATAGAAATTCGATAAAAGAGAAGAAATATTTATTTTAAAGCGCTTTTAATTTGATTACAATTTTATTGGTTCCAGAAGACTTTTGCACTTCTGACTTTTTTCTAAAGCTAAACTTTCTTTAAAAAAAACTGGTGAAGTGCATATAACTCTTGCATGCTGTAGTAGTGTAATGCAATTTTTTTAGTTTATCTTCCGCTCTTGCCTCACTTTACTTAAACAGTTCTTTTTTTACCATATAGGGAAACCAGCAACCATTGCTGAATTCCATGATTCCCGCGAGTGTAGTGGTGGGCATGCGTCCACCCAATGCACAACAACAACAGAAGAATGTCCAGGGCAACACATTGGGACGTGTAGTAATTGGCGGTCCACACATGGTTGGGGCAAGGCCCCAAAATCCGGCGGTAAGATTTATTTATACATCAAACATTTCACACATACATACATACATATGTATTTATTACTTTGTTTTGTATTACGTAGTTAACCATTCATTAGTTTAAGCTAGTAAGCGTTCACTCATTAAAACACTTTTCCGTACATACATACATACATACATACAGTCAGTCAATAAAGTTTAGGTACAGCGATTTTTTTACAATACGGGCAACTATTTTTTAAATATTTTATTTTTCGCAAAAAAAATTTCAAACATTATTTTATATGGAGAAAAGGAGCGACACCTTCAACAAAAAAAAAATTGCTAAAAGTCAATGGTAAGTCCTAACTACCTCAAACTTGAACTTTGTTATACTAAAATTGAAAGGGCTAAAAAACTGCGTACTCAACTTTTGTCTAAAGAGTGGAAATAAAAATTCTAAAATTTCGATGAAAATTGCAGAATTTTCTTTACTTTTGCATAAGGTTTTTAGCTCTGATTTTTGCGGTTTTTGTTGTAGAATCAACCATATTTTTAAAAACAATAACCGAAAAATAAAATATTTAAAAAATAGTTGCCGGTATTGCAAAAAAATTCACTGTACCTAAACTTTATTGACTGACTGTATGCATTAATATATTTTACGTAGAGAATCATTTCCTGAATCCTATAGTTAATAACACTCTTTAATATATTTGTCCATTCGTAGATAACACTCAGCACACTAGCACCTGGACAAACGCCTGCACTCATTTTGAAAACCGAAAATGGATATCAATTGCTGCGCGTTGGCACGGCCACCTCGGGCCCGGTGACACCAACCATTGGCGGCAGTGGCGGCACTAACTCCACCAACCCGGCACAAATTCGTTTACAAACTGTACCAGCTGCTGTAAGTAGATTCACAGGGCCTCCTATAGCACTTCGTAAAACGATTGTAAGATCATCCACCTCCACAAGTACCACTACTACCACCCACCACCACCAACATCATCAACAACAGCAGCAAGCAAAACAGCACCAACAACAGGCAACAGTGACGAAACAGATAAAACAAAATGTAATTTACGTGAATTTTACGATCACAGCGTATAAGATCGTTTTCAGTTTGGAAATCCTAATGGTTTCATTTCGTGTTCGTGGCTCTTTGGCTGGCGTGGTCAAACATCGTCTGTCGAAGGGCTGGGCGCACACTCTATTATTCCTATTATATGCTTTTTTTGCGATAGTAAATTCGTCTAATTGAATATTTCTTAATTTTTCCAGCGACTTCGTTTGTTAAATTTCTTATTGGTTATATAACGAAACGTTACACGCATTCGTACTATGGACTGTTTAGTTTGTGTCATTTTGTATTGTCCTTAAAATTTTAGCATACAACTTTATTCAAACGTAGGAAATACCGTTTTCTCTTGCCTTATTCTTAATACTACAATGCAATTTATTTAATTTGTGTTTATCGTAATCGTGATATCAAAATGATATGACTCAATGTATGACATATTCAAATTTAGATCACGATTTACGAGAATCGCAGTCAAATATAAGAAATTTAATTTTATTTCTGATCATTTGCATGCATGAAATTACTATCTAATTCTCGTTCGAAGCATCGTGCTATTGAAATAGCTAGTTATTGTGAGGGTAAATAAGTACATATGTGATTTAAAATATTCATGAAGGATTATCGAATACGAATATTGGGATATTAACAAAATACAAAATGTGCTCGTTGCTTTCCCACCTCAGTCGGACTATCGCTTTAGCAGCTTTCCGAAAGAACTCCTTGTGGAATTTGTATGCTGTTACAATAACAAATGAGCGATAAAAATAAGTAATTGATAAGGTTAAATCAGATTTTCTTTGTTGGCGAAGAAAAATCTAACATCGAAATCAAAATCCCGTTGATGCCACCCATTAAACTTATTTCGATTTCCTTCGTGTATGATTTACCTCCACGCGTGTAGATATGTATGTACATACATTTACTTCCTCCAATTTGAATTCACAGTTACAGTTTAAATTTTAGAAGTTTCCGTTGTGATAGCGCATAAGAAAATACATATATTTATCTGCTTATCGATGTGGATTACTTTCTTAAATATTGCAATTTTACTCCTTTCTACGTATGGACATATTTAGGTCATTCGTTATTTACATTCTTCTACATACATATATTTAGTTACATTTTGTTGATTTACTGTTTCTTCCTGCCAATGCCTTGGTAAATATCTACGGCACTTTAATTTTTGCAAACGTATTTGTATTGAATTGTGCAATTTGCTTGATTAATTATGTAATTTATGCAATTAAAGTTTTATTTTATTATATTCGCCTATTATTTGCGGTAATATTGCTGTTGTGTAAACATATTTGCTACTTGCCCAGTATAAATAAATTTGACGTACATAGTTGGAACTTAAATCTTAATTTGCTTTGAGTTATAAGTTAATTGCAAAAATTCAGTGAAACAACTAAACATTAAGTATTCGTATACTTGACTGTTGGCTTTGCTTTTTTTTCCTTTGTGATTTCATTCATTTCTTTCACCTTTGTTTAAGTTGCGTATTTTTTCATGATTTGCGTAGACCAATTAAATTAATTGATTTATTTTTGGTGCGTCTGCAGTCGATGGCAGTGTCCTCGTCCACATCCAATAATATTGTTGTGAACTCCGTTGCATCGAATACTGCCGGCCCACATCATTCATACACGTCCCAAGCGAATATAACATTGCAGCAGCCTCAGCATCATCAGACCACACTGCAACATCAACAACAGCAATCGCATCTGCAATCGCAACACCACCAACAAATCCACCAGCAGACGCAACATTTGCTCCCTCAGCCCCAGATAACCCAAATACAAACAATTCCAGCACAACATTCAGCCGGTGCGACCGCCTCTACGGGCACTTCGAACACAACGACAATGAGTAACAACCACAGCGCGGTGGTGTCCACGGCAAGTGCCGGCACAACGACGGGGACACCAACTATGGCGACAACGCAAAGCGCTGCGCAAGGAAATACCAAAGAGAAATGTCGAAAGTTCTTGGCTAACTTAATTGATTTGGCAACGCGCGAACCCAAGCCGGTGGAAAAGAATGTGCGTAACCTTATCCAAGAGTTGGTAAATGCGAACGTTGAGCCAGAGGAGTTTTGCGATCGGCTGGAACGACTGTTAAATGCCAGTCCACAACCTTGTCTAATTGGATTTTTGAAGGTTAGTAGTAGAGATTACACCATAGCGATTTTATATTCGAGTTGAAATTACAATGGAATATTTTCTCATTTGCTTACAGAAAAGTTTACCGCTGCTGCGTCAGGCGCTTTTTACTAGGGAACTTGTAATTGAAGGCATTAAGCCCCCACCGCAACATGTAGCCGGTTTGACTACCTTACAACAGTTTCCGGTAAGTAATCAATTTGGAATAGATGTTTTTGAAGTTAAACTTCTTTAGCGACAACAACAACAATCAAACAATTATTACGGAAAATACCATATTATTGTATGAAATCAGTTTTTGTATTATGAACTTTTGTGAATGTCGATTCATAATATGAAATAACAGAAGGCAAGGGTTTATCTTGTATCGTTTGAATTCATAATATGAGGGTTAGCTTGTACAGCTAATGTATAGAGAGAAGCTTCAGTTTCCTAGTGTAGCTAGCGCACTCCCTATTTACATTTATATTTTATTTTGCCTTTTTTCATTTTGTATTTATTTATTACAGAAAATTCAGGCGCAAATACGCCCCATTAGTCAAAATCAAACGACTACCATCGGACAGACGCAAGTGAGAATGATTTCGCCTGGTGGCCCAGGTGGTCCCCGACCTATTGGACATACGACGATCACAAAGCAGCAGGGTGGAATTCGTATACAAGGTCCCACCAGCGGCCTCGACTTGTCAATGCCCAAATCCGAGGACCCATTCCAGCGTCCATACATCAGTCAAATGCGCAACTCCCTACTGCGCCGAACCAAGCGGTGAGTTAATAGAAAGACATTTGACTGCTGAATTGGTTTGAAGCAATTGTTTATCCACAGAATATTGTACATATAAGAGCTCCAACAGTAACACAAATTAGCCGACCCGCAACGGTTCAAATACGTACTGCAAAGGGCAAAAATGCACCACCAGGCATTACGCACGTCAAAGTTGGACAGACCCAAATCAAGGCGATCTCCTCGCCTGTACCATCGCTTGTCACGTCAAGTCAGCCGCCCTCACTCGCAGCTATTTCCAACAGCTTACCACCCTCGTCAACACCATCGCTATCTGCGGTATCCACAATTCTATCCACCATCAATTCTGTGGCGACATATTCGCACGCAGGCAGTGGGACATCGTTGCCAACTCCATCATTGCCCACCGTACAACTGCCCCCCGCCTTAATGAATAGCAGTAGCAGCCATCTGCACAATAACGCAGCGTTAGCAGGCATAGGAGAGAGCCTAAGAATCATTGACCACAAAGTGGACTTGAACATCGTGAAACAAGAGAAAATTGCACCTGCCACACCATCAGCGACTGCCACAGCAAACAAGCAACGACAAAATCTGGTGCTTCATCGGCCAGCAAAGCATCAAGCAAAAAGAAAAAAGAACAACTGGATAAAGAAAAAGAAGACAAAGCGAATGCTTCGGGCGCTGCCGCAACAGCGCGTCTTCTTCTACCAACAGCCCTCTATATCTATGTCTTCTTCATTATACGGGGACGACGATATAAACGATGTCGCTGCCATGGGTGGTGTCAATTTGGCCGAGGAATCACAGCGCATTCTGGGCTGCACTGAAAATATCGGCACCCAGATCCGTTCGTGCAAGGACGAAGTATTTCTGCATCTGCCTGCGCTGCAGGCGCGTATACGCGCGATGGTAATGGAGCGAGGTCTGGAAGAACCATCACAAGATGTGGCAGTGTTGATATCACATGCGTGCCAGAACGTCTGAAAAATATCGTGGAAAAATTGGCTGTGATAGCAGAGCATCGAATTGACGTTATTAAGGTGCCAGACAAGCTTATACATTGAAACATTTGTAGATTGTTAAATATAACACAATTTAAAATTCTAGCTGGACCCACGATACGAAGTCACAAAAGATGTACGTGGTCAAATAAAATTTTTAGAGGAATTGGATAAAGCGGAACAAAAACGTCATGAGGAAATGGAAAGAGAAATGCTATTGCGCGCTGCCAAGTCTCGATCGAAAATTGAGGATCCCGAGCAGGCGAAAATGAAAGCGAGGGTAATTTATCGAAGTGTTTTACATTTATGTAAACAATGAAAATTCGGATGTTTTTGTTTGTTGAATTGCAGGCGAAAGAAATGCAGCGTGCCGAAATGGAAGAACTGCGGCAGCGAGACGCCAATATGACTGCGTTGCAAGCTATTGGACCACGGAAAAAAATCAAGCTAGATGGCGACGCAATAGGTACAGGGGCGGTACGTATAACAACCTGTTTACCACATCTTAATTGCTGTTATAAATAAAATAACTCTTACAGAATTCTAGCGCCGGCGGTGCATTAGGCGCATCGAGTGTACCAGCGTGCCGCTAAGACCACGGATTAAACGCGTTAATCTCCGGGACATGCTCTTCTTCATGGAACAGGAGCGCGACACATGCAGAAGCCAAATGTTATATAAGGCATATCTTAAGTGATCGACTTCGTACAACTGCTAAGAACACCTACATATATAATATGAACTTTCTAAATTGGTGAACATTTCGTCGATAAAATCACTTCATCCCCTTATTTTGTAATTTTCTATGTAAAGTACTTTTATTTGTTTCGCTGTAGCTCTCCTCCAGCAACATATAATGTAATCACATTTTGATTGCAAAGTGAAATGAATGCAACTTTTGCGGGTTTTTAATCTCAAAGCTTCTTGTATAAATATGTTTATCTTTATGACAATTATGCTTTGCCGCTACTGCGGTTGACGACAAAGTGCTTTATTAGTTGCAGAAAATGTATAAAGCTTACTTCAAGTTGCAATTAGGCTGACAGCGGGAAAATATTTCTAGTTAGTTTGGATGGATTATTGCAATATTAGTAAGAGCCACACTAATAAACATATTCTACTTTTGATTCTAATATTTTAACTCCATTTAACAACATAATTTCTTATTTTTATTATTGATTTATTTAATAAAAATAAAATTTGCAACTCATACTTGAAATGGAATTTCAAAAATTAATTCACTAGCCAAGAGTCGAATGAGAATATGAAAACAAAAAGAAATGACGAAAGCAGTTATTTTAAGCAATGCGTGCTTTAAATTTCTTACTTACTTGCTCGATTGCTTCAAACACTGCTTTGTCTAAGTATGCAAGTTGTATTAAAAGCAGGTATATTACAAGTTGGCATGATGATATTGCGTTGTTTAACATAAAAACTATATATAAAAATATGGCCTTATACATTTAGGTTAATATCACGCAAATTTTGTACATTTTCTTTATTCCGATTAAATGTCGTTTTCTACTATTTTACCTAAAACATCTTGTTAATCACAGGAACAAACATTAAAGTAAACCCATATTTTTAAATGTATAAATTTTCATGTAGAAACTAAATACTGAATTAGGAGTTGGGTTAAGCGAGCATTTGCTGATGGGTGTTTTGTGTGTACGTGTAAGCAGAAGCGCTGCTCTTACGGTTTTCCAGCAGATATAGCGAATGCCACAAACAGTTTATGCAGCAAAGCAACATGAATGTAGAACAAAAAAAAATATGGCGTGTTGGTCCAGAAAAGGAGGGCTTGCGATTTCCTTAATATACCTGCATAAGTTTACATTTTTGTTGCTAGCATATTTTTTGTTGTTTTAAGTAAAAAAATCACTAAACATTCGTGTTGTTTTGTTCCACTGCACAACACACCAGATGGTTCAATTCAGTTTCAAGAGGTTCAAAACCAATATTAACCTTTAAGCGCGGTCTAGAATTAAGTAGAATATTCATAGAAATTTGTATATTTGTAAGACTTTACGGCCACGGCATGAGTGGACAATATGTCCTTTGACGCCCACAAAAAAAAATATTCATAAAAAATTAAGTATTAAGGTTTATTCATACAAAATACACTTTAGAATTTTAGATTAAGCGAAAACTCTAACCGATAAAACAAACTGCATATACATACACATATTAATAGAGGTGGAAACAATAGAAAAATATAGTAACAAACCGCTTATTATAGTCTTATTTGCAAAGACATTAATAAATTTTAACATGGACACCCAAGAATAGTAAATACATAAAACAAACCAACACCAACCAATCAAAGGACCAACAATTCATTCGTAATTAATGGTGTGCAAAACGGAAAAACAAAATAAAAAATAAATAAAAAAATGATTGCAACTATGGTTAGAAATTCTACTAAAATCGTAGTTATATTACAACCTATGTATGTAAATGTTCGTAAATTAAGTTAACTTTTATTATTTTGTAATACGAAAAGTAATACTTGCAGTTTAAAAAAAGTATCAAGTTCTTTTATAAAATGTATAAAGTTGAGTAACCAAATCGGCAAATAACGAAAATGAAAATAAAAATGGAAATACAAGTTAAACAAACAAAATTTTAATGCTGGCTAAAACTTAGTTTTAACTATTGTATATTACAATGAAATTGTGTAGTTATAAATGAATAAATTAAAGTAATTTATATAAAACAAACCGGAAGTATAAACAAAAACCACAAAGCAAAACAAAACAAATCCATGAAATAGAATCAAGCAGAACCTGGAAAAAACAGTGTAATCGTTGGTATACTACAGTTGCTTATCAAACAAAATAAAATTATCAAAAAGCAATGCCAAGCTTGAGTAGCGTCAGTTGTGTACCCCAGCAAATACCAACAATGGCGTTAAAACCAATGCGAAAAGCAACGTTTGCTAAAGGATTTTTCAAATACAAAACGATGACCACAAAATACAAGTTGAAGTAGGTAAAAATGAATTTGAATAAAAGTGTTTAAAATAAAACAGCCGATACTTATTATTGCAACTTTAATTAGTCGTCTTTATCTAAAATTGTTTTTTTTTTTTTTTTTATTCAATTAATTTCATTTTCCAGTGCGCCAATGGTATTTCATTTGTCCCACAGAGTTTTTTTTCCTTTTCTGACAGGTGAATAGCAGAGGAGGAGAACTGTTACTTCAACTCCGGCGAAGCGAGAAGACAGTGGAAATATCCTTCGTTTATCGCGCCTCGTCAGACCCGGAGCGATGCGCGAGCTATTTTCCTGACAATTTATATTGCGTCCTTGGGTGATTAAGGCCAAGCGGCGTGTGATCAGAAGGTTGTGCGAACAAATCAGTGCCATCGGGAAGGCAAAAGCCTTCTAAGATATTGGCACCTCAAAAATTGCGCATTAAAAGTGGTTATATTGATTTTGATTTGCTGCTAACGTATAAGGGATTGTCAAAATGTATCTAACCGAAAGCATAATATAGGCAGAGTCATCCAAATTTTCACGGATAACGTGATCTTTCAGAAAAAATAACTGCCGCATTTTGTAATCGAATAATAGTCGTTTATCTACTACCAGACGACACTCGCAATAGGGGTGAGTATCTTCGAGGTCAAAGCTCGAAGTTAAGAAGAATTAAAAAGGGTATCTCAAGCAAGGTGTAATTGACAACTCAGTGTGGCCCTCTTTTAAGGTACTTTCAAGGCACGATGCAGAAAGGAAGGTCGATTTGGCAGCATCCATCCATTCGCTGACGTCGCACAATACTTTTATTGACATTCACTGTTGCCAACTTGGTGCTTTTCGCACCAAATTTAGTGGGTATTCAAAACGCGAAAATTTTTGAGTTTGGTGCTTGGTGAGTTTTTGGTGCTTTTGTTTATAGTTTGAAGACACCAAATGGAAGTAAAATTTATAGCAATCGTAGGTGTGGTAAGCAACTTTACAAAAATTTAAACAAAATCATGGCACAGTGACAATCATAAGCGACAACAAAATATGTGGCAGCACCGTCAATCATGCCAGAACAAATCGACCGTCGTGCAAGAAACATTGATTTTTATTAATTTGAATCGGCATCCTTACAGTAAGATTATGTATGCATATTAAGTCCATAAAATACACCAATAAAAATTTTGGTGCTTTTTCAAATTCAAAACTCGGCAATACTGCCTTTTGTTCGATGCTTCCTCTTATTCTGTTCGAGTTCGTCTTACTCTCTCATTCTGGTATTTGTATTCTATCATTTTTGGTTCCCAGGTTGAGTCTCAGTGCCTTTATCTATATCCTTTTCTCTATTTTTATCTGTCTTCCTCTATCTTCAACACTACTTTTGTCGCTGTTGGCACGATCTCTGAGAACAAAATCATGGAGCTGTTTATAGTTTTAATATATTTCTAATAGATTTGGATCACAAAATTTCTTAAATATATTGTAAGTCAAAATATATTCGAAAGACTGCATTTAAACTCTCTTAAACGTTATCTGCTCCTTGCCAGTTTTCTAAGCTCTCATCCTCTGACGAATCGTTCAACCAGAACTCCGTTGTACTAATTAAAATTTTTATAAACTCGCTTTCTTTTTATTTCATTTTAATTTGCACAAATTTACATATGTATAAGCACACTATTTAATTTGCTCGATTTGTACACAGCTGTGAAAAATATACTATTGTGAACAACCGAAACGAGCGAAATTCACAATAGCCGCTATTCTTCATCGTATGAGCGTCATAATACCAAATGAAAATTCGTTCGATCAGCACTTTCGACCACAGTCGAAGATCAAATGCAATTCATAATAGGGGCCAGTATGCTTATCATTTTCTTCATCCACATATTCTCCTTCACCTTTGCCCTTAGTCCCCTTTCAGACACGTCAAGTCTTGCTTTTAAGTCTGCTCGTTCGTTGGCGAAGGAGGTGAGAAAAGAGGGAAAGAGTACAGGCACCTCCGTACCGTCAATTCGTTTCAAGTTTTCTTGTCTCTTTTGATCTTTTCGTTGCTTCCCATTTGAAGAACCAAGGACTTGAATTCAATTAAAGTTGACGCGTGTGAAAGCAAATAGAAAACACAAAAGAGAATGCGAAAAAAATTGCTTTCAAGACTTGACGTGTCTGAAAGAGGACTTATATAGGCTGCGTTTCTTTATACATTCCGGATAATCCCATTTCACAGCCGGAATAAACAGAATGCCTTTGAAATATCCGTTAACATATCATCAGGAACGTTCTAAAGAATAAGTAAACAAAAAAGTTTATTCCAAACGTTCAGAATGAATAAAGAAATGCAGCCATAAGTAAAGTGTTTAAATTCACCTTTATCTTCATTTTTGCATTTATCTTTGATTTTGTTTTTATTTTTACCTTTGTCTTTATGCTTTTTTATCTATTTACGTACTCACCTCATTCTACATTGGTCTCTTTTTATTTATATTTTTTTTATTTAGCGCTAAAAAAGTTTCCCTTCAAAAAAAATTATTATTTTTTCGAGTTGTAATGAAACAAATAATTTTTAAGCAAAAAAACCGACTTCAATTTTCATATAAAAATTTAGGAGTACCGTTAATTATTCCACGATCCAATGATCGGTTCCAAAGCAGATTAGTATGGGACCACCTCTGAGACACTACCTTTCTGAATTTTCGAAATCGGTTGACGTGGTCCAAAGTTATGCGGTAACATACATACATAAAAAATATATATATATTCCGACGAATTGATAACCTGCTCCTTTTTTTTAAGTCGGTTAAAAATGAGTAATTTCGGTACTTTTTCGCCTAAATAAAGGTTTTCATAAGGTTGAAATTGTTCAAATACTTGATTTATTTTTTATTGTACTTGTTTCTCCATTTACTCAAATATATGCAAGAAGAGTGCTTACGCGTTTTTTTTTTTCTGGCGAGAGAAGGAAGTGACACTAAAAACAACTGGTGAGATTTGCTCATATACACAGATTACGGTTAGAAATAATAGGGCTGTTCAGGATGTTGTGGAAATGGTCCTGGATTTGCAGTTGGAATCTTATTTGCAAATTGTATGCTTGCTGCCATGGCAACCGTGTACATTTTATTGTTGTGAATTTACAAATGCAACGATTATGGAAATGCATATGCATATGCTCAAGATCCTGAACAGCCCTAATGATTTTTAGAAAAAGCTATTCTTAAGTACATACTTATATAACAAGGTGACGTGCATACTTACCAGCTACGTATTCTATTGTTGAGATAAACTTCAAATTTCAAATTTGTTTATAAATAATTTCAATTTGTTTTATTATTTATCAACTTCCTTCTAAATAGGAATAACAAAATTGACCAATTCAGCTCAACAATTTACGTTGGATAATTTGTTTTGTTTGGTTTGCTTTATTATTTGTGTATGTATGTATGTATGTATCTATGTATTGTATTTTACCTACAACACAATCCATTAATTTAAATAATGCAAAGTAGTTTTACTTTCCTAGACAGTGGCAATTATTACTTCTTTCTATTAATCAAATACATATGTATGTCGCTACCTTGGGACTCCTAAATATATATAATTTTATTGAAAATTAATTTAAAAAAAATGCAGTGAAACCTACAAAACTTATTCGAGTAACATCACTTGACAATATTTTCTTGTGTGATTTTCTATTATAGCTTTTCTATGATTGCAAGGCTGATTCGAAAGGAAACCAGGCGCCTAGAAGTATGCTTATTACATTTAAAAGGCTGCCTAAAGCATGCAATAATCATTTTCCATATTTTCTAAAGCATATTTTAAGCCGCGCCATTTCATCTGGAACTCCAACTCCACCAACTAAATTTCCACTACATTCCAAGCTGTCATCTTCGCACACATGCCTTCAATGGTATGGTTATATGCTCGCTGAATCGAACCAGTGCTCAGTAATCGGTTATTTTATTTTGTTATTTTAATTTATTTACTTTAATTATTTAGCAAAAATCTAAAGCTTAGCACTACTACCAATGTAATTTAACTACGCGTACGGCGTTAAAATTTATCAGCTAGTTTACGTCGCTAAATTATTGTACAGTGTCTTTTCAAAATGCTCAAATTACCCTCAAATACTACTGCCTACTTCAACTTAACGAGCCAGTGCTTATGTATGTGTATGTATTTTATGCGTCACTTCTTGTTAGTGCTCTAGCTACATAGAAGTTGCTCGACGCTGCGCGGTCCAGCCATGAAAACGTGCGTGTCTAAAAGAGCTTAGTGAATATGCAACCAATTAGTTGGATATGCAAGGTTGCCGACAAAGTGGCAAGCATAATTTCCATATTACGTATAAAAATCAATTAAATATTTTACATTCATATTTTTGGTTGAATTTCACGCCAACCATTTGGAACTTATTGAATTTCATCACTTTCAGTCCACTTCTAACCTTTCACTTTATTTTCCTATTCGAGCTTTTTGGTTCATTAGCGTTTACTTATTTATGTTTATGTTTATATTGTATGTAAGTAAGTAGTATAGTTTGTATATGTATGTATGTACGTATGTTAATTCATATGTATGTTTCGTCGGTGTACATATATGTATATGTATGTATGTTTGTAGATTTGTGTGCATAAGTATATATTCGTGTGCTTCGTTGTTGCTGAGAGGAGTGCGGCTGCGTTGCGAAGCGCCTAAAATGCTGCTACGGCTGTTGCTACTTTCTCCGTCCATCGTGTTGGGCTACTTTCTTTTCAGGTGCCGTTTTCTTGTACCAAATTAAAATACGATGACGCGCTATAGTTGAATAATTCAAAGTCATACCTGGCAATAAAAAGGCGACAGAAAGTGCATAAATTAAAATTATTGATCGTAAGAATGCATAGCTGTAGTATGATTATAGGCGGTGCGGCCGTTGGTTGGTTTAGCTATTATTTACCATGGCATTATTAAATATTATATAAGAACAAACGCAGTACACCAAAAAAAAAAAATATATACAAGACAAACAAGGAATATGAAATATCTGAGGTGTGAACGAATGGTGTGCCCGGCTGCAAATGCTGCATGTTTTTCGACACATAGCGATTATGTTTAACCAATTTTGGAGCATTACATTCCAAATTCATCATGGATTCAAAAATACAACATTTTTGTCTACATACATGTACATATGTAGCTATATTCGCTCGGAAAAAAAAACAAAACTCACCTAGTATATATTGACAGATATGTATGTATGTATGTCAGTAGTCATTCGGTGGGTGTTGCTATTACGTGGGAATTACGCTATAAGATTTCTAGATAGATTTTTTTTTTATTTAGCAATATGTAAAACTATTTTGTTTATGGCACGTTTAGTAGCAAAGGGAATTATTTCAAAATATGTATAATCAAAGTTTCAACAATCACTTGGTATAAAAAAAAACAGATGGAAAGATATACATATATCCTCGAAAGTTTGGGTAGTTTAGTAATTTGTAGTAATCGATAGCGTAAATTTTCCAGTTAATTTTCTGTGTTATTAAACGGCCGATATGGTATACATACTTATATTATTTTTGTTAAGATTCCTTCAAAGTAGGTGTGTGCCGGGGGTATCCGGTAGATATCCGGCATCCGGCTTATCCGGCCGTTTTCTGTAATCCGACTATCCGACCGGATATAGGCTAAAATCCGGTCGGATTTCCGGATTGCGATTATAGAAGATTCAATTTAAAAATCTAGTTCCGAATTTTTTTAATTTCATAATCAAATTTATGAGTATCTAATTAGTAAATAGAGTTAAAAAATTATATATTTTTTATTATCAAAAAAAAAAAAACGAAGCATGTCTGCATCACCGGTAAACAATATTAAGAGCAGCAGTCTACCGGATATCCGAATCCGGCTCTTATATATTACAGGATATCCGGAATCCGGTTATCCGGCCAAACCCCTATCCGGCACATCCCTACATCAAAGCAAACTAATAACAGCCTGATTTCCACATTATAATAAATCTCACCGCAATGACTGCTGTCATAACTGCGGCGCCAAAAAATATGCCGTGAAAACTTGATTGTACAAACAAGAATATTACACATTTTATGCACTTCCAAGCTATATTTAGCAGCGTACTTTTAGGCAAAGATGTTATGATAGCACTTATTTCGGCAAGTTGCGCGATCTCGTAAGAATAGAGTTCTAATTTAAAGCTTCCTCCCAACGCTCCCTAACCACGCATCCCTCCCTGCAAACCAAAGTTCCCGAAATCTTAACGAGATCTTTAGGAGTATCTCATTTCTGTAATGATTTTTCTACGAAGCTTCAAAGAAACTTCTGTATGGAAAATAAAGAAAAATTCTGAAAAAATTCTTTACATAGCAGCATTGCTTCACCGATTTTCTTCCGAAATTTTGTAAAAGAATCGAAGTGTTTACAGTTTACTTCATTTTGGAAAATTCGGAAAAAATTTGAATGAGATCTTTACGAATTCTTTCAAATTTCTCTACAATTCAGAATACTCTGGCAAAATGGTTTGCAGGATTTTCACATATTTTTTTGTTGTTTGATTCTTTTGCGACAAATATTTTACTCACTTGTAGTATTGATAAAGTCCATGCATTTCTTTATGCGTCAACTTAGAGTAGAATGATTGCAGCAACTCTTGCGTATTCTTGCCTTTGCCCGCATTACGCCACTCGGGCGCTATGACGCGCGTCAAGCCAGTCTTGTGTATGAGATATAATTGATCTTCGTCGAGTGTGTCGAATTTCATAATCACATCAAAATTGATGACACATGGCGTGCAAAACATTGTCGACGATACAAAATGCATATCCATTTGGACATTGCCATGCTTTATCTGATCCAAGAGCCAACGCACGAACTCTGGGAATGTTGGATATTTGGGCGAATTCATATCCAAACTCTGTAAAACATGAAAAAGCGTTTTTTTTTATTGCTTTATAAAAATTTATGTAACAAAAAGGTCAAAAGGAAGCGCATAGAAAACTTAAATGTACACACACATTTATGTACATTAGGTCGCATCACTTGTCATACAAAAAAAAAAAACTCGGAGCAGGTTTTCCATCGAAATTATAAAAAAATATTTTAATATTTTCGTCATAATATTTTTTATGCACATTTTTAAGCTTCAACTCTGCTAACATCTGAGGTAATTCTTTGCAAAAAATATTTTTAAGAACAAATTTTATTCATAACAAGAAAAGAAGTCTAAGTTCGGGCGGGCCGAACATTAAATATCCGGCGCAAGTATTAAATATAGTTTTTTCACCTTTCCGAAAACAACAGCTACATGATAACCAACGTTCAGAACGTTCAGTTAGACATAATGGCAGAAGTTTCAAGGATTTTTTAAATTTACCGTTATAAGAAAAGTGGGCGTAATTTTAGTCCGATTTCAATAATTTTCAAAGTTTTGCTTTTATTTGGCAAGCGAAATAATCGTCCCAAGTTTGGTACAAATTGATCGAACGGTTACCGAGATACACATACTTGGTCATAATTGGGCGGTGCCTCGCCCATTTTCCAAAATTTTACCATAAACGTGTTGTTTGTTAAAGAGTTATTGTAAACATCAATTTTGAATCAAGTAGCTTCAGCAGTTACTAATTTATTGAAGATTTCGTATTTCTCTAAACTACCGTTATATGGGATAAAGGCGTGGTTATTGTCCGATTTTAAAAATTTTCAGCCGTTTGGTATGTTGTACCAAGGTTAACAACTGCGCCAAGTTTGGGAGAAATTGGTGTAGCGGTTACCAAGATATACACATGTAACCATAAGTGGGCGTGGCTACGCCCATTTTTCCAAAAATTTATTGTATTCTTATTTTTCGTCTAATAATCATTGTGAATATCAATTTTCAGTGAATAAGCATCAGTAAATACTAAAATATTGCAGTTTTCGTATTTCTGAAATCTACCGTTATATGGGAAGTGGGCGTGGTTACGGTCCGATTTCGCCCAATACCAACCTACCATGGGTAAAGTGCAATCAGTATACCAAATTTCGTTGATATATCTCAATTTTGTTCCAGTTATCGTGTACACGGGCGAACGGACGTACGACAGACAGACATGGCTTTATCGAATTCTCTTTTCATTCTGATCATTTATGTATAAATTTGTCTATATCTATCTCGATTCGTTTTGTCTATTACAAACAACCGTTATATGAACAAAGTTATAATACCCTTGTGCACAAGTGCGCCCGGCTATAAAAACAGGATTTTTTTTAGGTCTTATCAAATCGGTCCGGTCCGACTCACTTAAATCTTAATACTTTTCCGAAATATTTCGGCATAAACCTTTAAATATAATACATTTTATAATTTCACTGGAAAACCGTAACTTTTTTTTTGGTGAGGCACCCTAATGTAGATATGTGAATTTGTTTGCATATTGCCACATTTTCTTATTGGCACACGCGTGCCTATTTATGTTTTGTAGCGCGCTACTCACTTTGCTGCGATATTTGCGTACAATGCGCCGCCCCAACTTGTCGTGATAGGAGTGTGGCAGGGCAAATACCAGCTTATCACGATATGCACTTAATAGCCTCTCGAATGGATGGCGCGCTATCATGAATGTAATCGAATCATTTTGTGCTTCTCGCAGCTGTAAACAACAAAAATCAAATGACAATAACAATAACAAGACATTAGTGAAGCAAATAAAATATATTCTATATAGGAAACATATGTATGTATGTATGTATGTATCTATTTGTAAGTGAGTGAATTGTTGTCCCAGTGTAATTTATTATAAAGCAACGTTATTTAACCGAACGACTGTCGTTTACTTGTGTACCGAAAGGATACAGCAAAGTAGAGAGTGCTTTGAAGTAGTACCTCAAACAGGGCGAAAATATGTACATAGTAAGGAGCTGCTCATAGCAATGAATATGCGGCGTAAAGGCGATGNGTAATCGAATCATTTTGTGCTTCTCGCAGCTGTAAACAACAAAAATCAAATGACAATAACAATAACAAGGCATTAGTGAAGCAAATAAAATATACTCCATATAGGAAACATATGTATGTATGTATGTATGTATCTATTTGTAAGTGAGTGAATTGTTGTCCCAAGTAATTTATTATAAAGCAACGTTATTTAACTGAACGACTGTCGTTTACTTGTGTACCGAAAGGATACAGCAAAGTAGAAAGTGCTTTGAAGTAGTGCCTCAAACAAGGCGAAAATATTTATGTGCATAGTAAGGAGCTGCTCATAGCAATGAATATGCGGCGTAAAGGCGGTTCTTTTGACAACAAATGTTTTCACGTAAATGTTGAATGGTATATCAGTATTAGTGTTGCCACAGTAACTTTTTATTTGTTACCAAATCACCAGGACGTAAGTTACGAAATTCAACAAGAAATAACCAAACGTTTTTTTTGTGCAGAACTATGCACAAATAAGTACAACCGAAGACACTGGGTCGCTATCAGATATCGTAGGATAAGACATCATAAAATTAAAATCCTACATGAAGCTTTCAGTCAGTCAACACTTTTCATGCTTTCAGCAATAATTTTCATATCGGCTTGAGCGCCGAAAGCCACAACAACACCAGAAAAGCTTGGTGTGGATTTCAAACTAAAGTGTGGTTGAAGAAATGAATTTATCTACTGTTCGTCGTCCTCAAAAACTGGGGCTATCTTATGGCAAATTATCGTATAGTTTGCACTTGGATATACACATCCACCCGTATAAGGCTAAAATCACAAAACAAGTGAGGGCATCTGATCAATCCTAGAGTCGTGGATATGCTTTATTGCAACAGAGAATTATCACTTGTTAACAGTTAGAGATCATACCATTCTAGTAGCCAACGAACGTTGGGTTGGAATACATTTACACCCAGGAGTGAGTACCTGGTCTTTCTATCCACATCGCTGCTCTCAAGTTTAAACAGAAAATAAATGTCTTTGCTGTATTGACCCATGTGAGCAAAGAATCTACTCTGCTTAAAAAACATGCAACACTGACTCGAAAAAATTTACCAAACTGAAAAATAAATTACGAAATTTGATAAAGGAAGAAAAAAATTACCAAACCGGCAACGCTGATCAGTATACCTTTTCAATAGAAACGCGCGGATAACGTTCCCTTGCCAAATTCAGGAACACTTCTTTGGTTCGTTGTAGGAAATCTGGCGAGTAACCGGCTAATACATTAAAATTGAACATCCATGATGAGGAGGCAGCTTTGAACACATTGCACCTGCAAAGAATTTGATATAATTTCATTAGAAACGAATGTATGTATGTATGTAACCAAAAAAAAAACCAACCATATAATGTGATATTTTTTATTGACTAAAAACTCCCAAGCGTTGGGCTTGTGCCATGTGTCGTTACCTTTGAAAGAAAAACAAAAAAAAAACGAAATTTTGCATTAATCTGAGAGTTTTTCTACAATGTGCCTCTATAAATACTATATAACATATAAATATGTAATTTAATTACTAACGATAATTTCTAACTTTGCCCTATTTCAGCAGAAATTTGCATTGCCTTTTAATTTTGTTTGTTGTTCAGGTACAAAAAAAAAACAAGAAGTGTTACTCGTTACTCATTTTTAAATCCGTTAAACACTATATTTATTTATCAACTATCGTTGCACGTGGGTGAAGGCAGTCAGTCGCTAGAGTGAACAGTTTACTGGCAATAAATTAATCTTTTGCGACCACAAATCATTACGGTACTTTTAAAGGGAATGAGCGTGATTATTTAATAATAATAAGCATTACAAATATTTAATGATTAGTTACTTGAATATATTTAATTTGTAGAAATAGTAAACAAAAAGAATTTGGAGAAATATGTATATGTATGTATGTACATATATATGCCAAGAATACAGTTTTATTAGGACGGGTACCGAGGCATGACGGACATGATGGCAATGAGGAGGCCGACAGCCTAGCGAAACAAGGAGCTGCCTTAGTATTTTATGGTTCAGAACGCTTTTGTGGGCTCATCAAAGCACACATAAATAACTGGGTAGATAAAATGTTCAACAAGCATTGGATGGAATGTCCAGGGCAAACACAAGCCAAACGATTTAGCTGTCCTTCAAAAGAAGTTTCAAAGAAACTACTCAATGTAGGGTGATTCATTTAACGGTATTCCATTGTTAAACAATTTTAATTTAAGGAATTCTTCCGCAAGCCGAGCATGCGCGCGCACATGTTCGTCGTGTTTGGCCACTGTTAGAAATTGGATGTAGGCTGGCTTTGTATGCTGCGTATTTCTTTGCTGCAGCGACATGGCAAGTGGCACTTCCACAACGGCGGGAAGGGATTGGGAGATACATTGAGTCCCACTGGACGATAAGAAGCGTTTCTTATTTAAGCAGGGATGACAACCAATTGCGAGGTTTCTCGGCTGTTCCTTGCTATTGCCGATATTTGCTCCCCAAATGGAACGCGTCGCAATCTTTCGTCTATGACAACATAATCAACTTGATTATTCGCGCTTTGAACATTTGGAATTGGAGTCGAAAAATTTTAAAACACAATTTCGTTGTCACCAAGTTCAGATTCGGAAAATAATTTGCAAAAACCAGGGAACTTACGGAAACCTGCGTAACAGCTAAGTGCTTTTACAATTCTTGCGTATATCAGACTGTAAAATAATAGAATTTCTGGACGAAAATTTCGTCTAAAGAAAGAACATGTCTTATTAAATTATTCTGCCATTAGGGCTAAAGTTCTACATATACTATTTTTTTTTTTAATTTATCTTAGGTGTTCATTACCATGGAATTTTTCTTTTAATAAAGATAACCCGCCGATAAATCTGTGCCTAAAATATTCAGTAATAAGTGTACTTTAAAAACGTTTTCTGCTTTCCGAAATAAATTTCTAAATAATATTGCACTTACAACGTATAGATACATGTATGTATGTATTAAACTGCTGCAGGAATGCATTTGTTTGCAGCTTCAAAACATTCTCTTGATGTTAGAATAGCCGCTCTCTTTCATTCTATGTTAGCGAACATGAATTAGAATGTTATCGAAGAGTAATAGAATGGAGTGGAGTGAATATTCTCTCTTAATAGAATATTCATATTCTCAACATTTGCAACGGAAGGTAGAGTATTTGAGAATACTCTAAAGGCTCTGTTATGCATACTTGGCATTGCTTTAGAGTTGTCACAAAAGCAATCTGTTAAATGAGCTTCGCGTGTAAGCGGTTACCCAACGCTACATAAAAATGGTATAGCATTGCATGCATTGCCAAGTATGCATAACAGAACCTTAATATACTCGTATGTACAATTAAATATACATATGTATATATATATTTGTATGACGCTGTTACTAGACTGTTGAAGTGAATTTAGTCCACATTAAAATTTGAAAATTTAATAATAGTAAATGGTCTTTATTTTAAAATTATGTCAAATAGACATAACCTATGCACATACATACAAACATATGTGCATATATCTTAAATTAAAACAAAATGAAAACAAAATATTTATTTAAACTAAAACTTAACATGGAATTCATTTGGATCACTTAAAACATACATACACCCATCAGAATATGTTTCCGTACAGTGTTTTTTTTTTTTTAATGTTTCCAATGTTTTGCATAATAAATTTTTTCGTTAATTTTTAATAAAAAAATAGTTCATTCTGCATCAAAAAGCATATAAGTTAGTGTTTCAAAGTTTTTACAAAATTTTGGAAAATTAGACAAATTTTCACCAAAATTTTCAGCTTTTAAACTAAATTTTTTAGAATTTTGAGTATGCAGTTTTGTAGTTCACTTAATTTCAGTACAATAAAGTGCAAGTTTTAAATGGCTATGATGTTGCTCATTTTCTCCATATAACGAGTGCCTGGTAGTTTTTTTGTATGGGAAAAAATGCCGAAGAGCGTCAGTAAAAAAATTCTCAAAAATCAACGGTAGCTCATTGCCACTTAAAATTTCTGCTTTGTTATTCTGAAATTGAGAGAACTACAAAACTGCATACTCAAAAAAATTCTAAAAAATGTTGTTAAAAGCTGAAAACCGTGAAACCATGAAACCATGGCATTGTAATTAACAAAAGAGCCTCCATCAGTTGACTGTTAAGTATATTTAAGTACAGATATTTAAAATAAAATGAAACTTGTAAATACGTATATACATTAATAAAAACTTACCTCATTTATATTTGCCATAATGTCAAAAATTTCTTTATTATTTATTATTAGTTTAATATTTATTACCCACAAAAGACCTACAGCACGATGCCGCTATTGCGCTTGATTAACAGCACTTCAGCAAAAAAAGGCTATGCTGGACATGTAATACTCTCAAATACTCGTTTATTTGAAGGTAAAAATGCGAAACAGAGAGCATAGGAAAGAAAATAAGAGATACTCCGTTACACCAATGGTAATGAGCATTCCATTCGCCAAATATTATACTCCCGCTCATTCGCATTCTCTTGCTGATATCGTTTGCAAACCTTGTACATGTTTTGAGAGTAAAGAGAACGACCGCAAAAGCAAATGCATTCTCGCAGCTGTATAGTATGTATGTATGTATATATGTACATTAGGGTGGCCCAAAAATACATAGGAAAATCAATTTTTTTGATTTTTCTTGCTGCCACCCCCAGAACAGAATAATATCAAAAATAAGGAGACACGTATTTTTTTTTTATTTCGACATCGGGTAGTATTTACCCGTGCCGCCGAGGCTTTGAAGTTTCCCATCTATTTTACATGGGGAAAATATATTTTTTCGTAGAATTGCTATAAAATCATTAAAAATAAATATTTTTGGATCGAATAAAACTATTTGCCTATCAGAAGGTTTCAAAATATAACAATATGATAATTATTTAACTTAATAACTAAGTGTGTTTTAATAACCGATAATACTAACTGTTGTATACAAAAATTAGTTATTTTAAGTTTTCATAACCACATCACGCACAATCACCTCAATGGATGCGTTTGTATTTCTTTTTGCATTCTACTCGATTATTTCTAACGTATACGTGTCTGCTTATTTTTGATATTTTCAGATCTGGGGGTGACTGGAGGAAAAAAATTTGGACCACCCCAATGTATGTACATATATACATAAGTGTGCTTAAGCATAGAGAAGAACTCTAAATATATTTACCCACTACATCTAGGCCAAATTCGGCACATTTCTCTTGCAGCAGTTTTCGCCGCCGTTCCATGCGCTTCTCGATGCGCTCCACATCGTTCGGCGACAGCGTGTGCACTGACTCCTCCGGCAATACTGGCACATGTGACTCATTAACATACTAAATATATATACATACAACAAAGAGGAAAAATATAAAATACAAAATTTTAAATGTATATTGGCAAACAAGCACAAACAATTCGAATAACGCGAATATGTACATAACTATTTTATTTGTTATTATTCAACATTCTTTGGGGGCTACGAAAAGGAAATGCATTAACTATTTGATTTATGGGGATATCAATTATATGTACAACAAAATGTATCGTAATATGGATGTTCGGGTTGTTGGGATGTGTAAGTGTTTACCTGGTGGAGTGTGGAATGCGAAATGTGCGCCCGGGGGCGTATGAGTAACAAAAGAAACGCACTATGCTATGTACATATGTATGGTCGCGTGATCGGGTGTACTACATAAGAGCGGGGGGTGGTATGGAGTGATTTTGACAGCTTGTGGCAACATGTACAAAAATATAATATTCTGATATAATGGCAGTTNGGGGGTGGTATGGAGTGATTTTGACAGCTTGTGGCAACATGTACAAAAATTATATTCTGATATAATGGCAGTATATTGGATGGATTTATGAGAAATTTTGACGACGTCCAACATCTCTACATACATACGTATATTTTTTACTATTTTAGACATCAGATATCAATTCGAATTTTCCGGTCTTCGATGACTTTCGGGAAGCGTTGCTGACCTAAATTTTTTTTTGTTTTTTAATATTTACAATAACTATTTTGCCGATTAGCTGTAGGCGGGTGTGCAGTGTGCAGTGTGCCCGTACAATGTGTGGCACTAAGCGTTTATATTGACTTGCACTTGCATATTTGGCTACATACATACATACAAATTCAAATGCTTTTATACTAGTGTATGTACGTAGTATGTGTGTGAGTGGAGTAAAAATTTAATGCTTAAACTTTACGTTTACATACAAAAGGGCAGCGGTTGTTGGTTATACAGGTACATTTATTTGTATATTTACTTTAGCGTATTTGTACAATTTTTTGCGAGAACTTCCTGTAGACGCTACTGTTAGATCCTTATTTTTCCCCAGCAACATTACCGGATAACGAAAACTTTGATCACCGAAGTGATCGTTGAACTTTGACGCCTAAAAAATTGTACGATAATAAATTATTATTGTTGTGGTATTATTGTTGCAAATTTTGCTAAATTTTGGTTAGGTTGTCATTGTATTGTTTAGAATTTTGCCAATCGAATTACTTCGCATTTGAAATTTTAGCTGATTTTGAAACACGTACTAAATGGTGCCAATACATATGCAGTGCGAATTGTTGTAATTTGGTTCCACAATTTTGTTCCTCAGCGCTTACATCGGATGAATTATTTCACAATACAACTACAAAAACGTGTAAAAAAGCCTGGACTATAAAAAGAAGCATCAATACGAGCAACAATAACATGTACAACAAATGTGTGTAAATATGTAAGTGTATGTCGCTGGTACATACATATGTACATACATATGTATGTATGTACTTTATACGCGACGCAAGTTGTACAAAGATGAACTTGTGTGAAAGTGTTAATGTGCGCACAAAAATGAATTACTTGGAGGGAGAAAATGCCAAAAGAGTTGCTCGGGGCAACCGTGAATGCTATGTATGTATGTATGTCTGTATGTGTGAGGGAGGTTGACTAGGGCGCGGGGCGTATGAGTGACGGAACTAGTTAAAAAATGTACATATGTATTACAATGCCTTACATATGTATGTAAATTGCAGCAAGATGTTTTCGATCTGAAAAGTGGAAGAAATAGCACATACGGTGATGTAAACGAATAATTGCGAAGACGCAGGGTAAAGTGAGGCTGGGAGATTGTATGGAAACGAATGTGTATTTAAGTATTTAAATCAGCATTTCAAATCAGTAGCATTATTTAACAGGCAATTAGCTTACGTCAACAGCTATTTATACGCATAAGCGTTTACTTATATGTATATGTATAGCGGAAAAGAAGCAATAAGGAATGTGTGTGAATGGATCGCCAAAGGATCAAATAATAAATTGCAATTTTTTTAAGTTGCCTAAAAAAAAGCATGTGTTTATAGAAAAGGTTGAAAAAAAATTTTTTTTTCAAAGATTATTACTCTGTACGAACGCTAAAATTACACAAAACACGCCGAGGCGAGTAAACTCAATTTTGGGTCGTACATTGCCGATCTGTATACCGTTTTTCTAGATAAGGTTATTTTACCAAGATTTATTCATTTCAAATTCGATTTGTGATCGAAATAAGTTGATAGTAACAAGTAATTTTTAAGCAAAAAACAAAATCGACTTCATTTTTCATAAAAAAATTTAAGATTATCGTTAATCTCTTGATGATCCAATAATCGGATTTAGACCAAATTACAACGGGACCACCTGTGAGGTAACACATTTCCTTTAAAAAAATAATTATAGAAATCGGTTAACGTGGTACAAAGTTATGCAGTAACATAAATAAAAAAAAAATAAATAAATAAATAAATATTTTGACGAATTGATGGAAGGTTCTTTTTGTGAAATCGGTTAAAAAATATATTTTTAAAACAACGGAATGGCGCAAGAGTGGAGATATAGCCCGATTAGGTTCGTATTTAGAACGTAGGAATAACTCCACTAAATCTTGTGTCCACCAGTTATGGGCCGCCTTCATTCATATTTAGAAAGCTTGCTTTTTACTATTAACTTACTTTGTTAACTCTGTTAAAGTTTAAATAATTTTTTCTTAAAAACTAAAATGCCCTACTCAAGAAACAGAGCAGAGTATTGGTTCGTTATCTACGACTCAAAATTTAGTTAACTTGTTTCGGCGTTTTTTGTATCAATTTGTATTTGACAATTTCCCTACAGTGCTAATTTCTTTTCAATACTAAATAGCTGGTTAAACCATATTTTTAAAAATTGTAATACAACCAGCTTATTAACCGAGCCATAGTGCTATAAACAATAACCTAGAAATAATTCATAAGGAGTAAAAAAAATGATCATTGAAAAATATATTCCTGTAAGGGACTTTTCATTGAATATTTCGATGTAATTTCCTGCGTAGAATTCTAATCTAAGCTTAGAATTGGGCCATCATTCGAGCTGCCATCCGACGTCATTATTATAAACGCATCGGTCATATTTCTGTGGCATATAAAATTACCGGCCGGTTGAAGCATATGTCGAGCCTTTTAGCTAGGGCTTCGGAGCAAAGTTTTTTTTTACATCGCTCAGCTCCAGCTCCTCTCCGGTATTTTATTTCGCTCCAAGCTTCGCTCGCGCTCTCAACAAAAACTTTTTTTATTTATTTAATTACAAATGGAGCCCTAACCAAAAAAAGGTAGGAGACATTTTTTATTGTCCTTTTTTTTGATGCAGAAATACCTCCAGATGCTTCAGAAGCACTTCTGCAACCCAAAGAAAATTTAGGGCTCGATATACAAATGTATGTATGTATGTACATATCGCGCATTTGCTGCAAGAGTGTCATTGCGTTTTTTGAGGTTTTTGGGGGAACCTATAAAAATATTTGATATTAAAAAATGGTTCAATAAGTAATTGGGTATTGTTATTGGAAGTCTCCTAAAGAGAAACAGAGCTTCTGATCGAAAAATATTGATTTTCAAGAACTCAATACAATTTCTACGAAAGTGTTTTCCCCATATAAAAGACATGGAAAACTTCATGGGCCTTGAGGTAGTTCTAAATATCTTTTTTTTTCTTTGTAACAAACAGTGCGGTATGCCGAAATGAATCCGCTCCTATTTCATGTATGCTACACTAATGTGAAAGTGCCAATTGAAATACGTGTGGTCGGTAAACTTTACGGCTAAAATCCTTTTCTCCTTAGCTCCTTGCTCGTTGGCTTGGAATGGGCTGTAAAAGCAAATAGACAACGCTCACTTATCATCTCGAGACAACAAAATGCAAAAAATATTATTCAAATAAAGGATATTAGTTTATTAAAGTTCGCTGTAATTTAGATGTGATAGACTCCAAAAATCTTATTATTTGGAGGGTATTAAAATATTAGAGGGACGAGAGTGAAGTGTGTAAAATCCAAATCAAAAGAAATAAGAAATAAATTCGCTTTGAGCTGAAAAATCAATCTTTCCTTTAAAAAGCTACGAACTTATTCACGTTACCCCGGACACAAAATTCATCGATGTATGTATATACATATATACACACATATTTACATACATATGACCCCCTTATGTTTAGATATTTCTACTTATTTATTTTCAAAATTTCCGCTTGTAAATATCGTCGATGTTTTTTTGGTAAAGCTACCCATCGACCAGTTGCAAAATCGCTTAAATTGCCGTTGTGGCAAAAATGAGATATGGTAACCCTAAACTCCAGGCATCGAGATTTATATAAAAATCGTAAAATAGTTATTAAAACCTACAAGATTTCTAAACTAATAACTAGAGAAAATACTGCCTATCAAGGCAATGCCCTCAAAGAAAGACCGTTTTTTTGCTCTCCTATAAAATTTGATTGCGGTAAGATAGGCGATTTTGCAATTGGTCGATGGGCGGTTTTGCAAAAACATCGACGATATGTAGTATTTCCAATGTTCTCGCATTCGCACATTAATGATTTGTATGACATTCGCTTTTGGATTTCATCCACGCCTCGCATCGTTTCCATCAACAACACTATCTACACTAACACACTAACAATGTAAGTTCAAATTCTAAATCACACAACAAAGTGCTACTGGACTGCAACAATAGCAACAATGAACAACGAAATGGTGGTAAACAAATTTTCAAAATGGCATATAAATAAAGCAAAGAAAAGCATTTAAAATGCTTCTCTTGAATGCAAGTGTGTGCGCTACAATACACACAAGTTTATGGCTATGCCCCTCAATCGCCCGGCGAGGAGTAATCGCAATCGTGGTCACTAGTGCCAGGGTCAAGTGTAAGCATACATACATATGTACATATATACATATGTATGTATGTATGTGCATGCGTGCAACTCATATGGCGATACAATTGTACATGGGTATATGTGTATTTCAGGGTGCCGGAAGACGTATTGTAAAAAGACGTGGCTTATTTGCATGGACAAATTAACGTAGTACTCAAGGTAAATATGCAGGCCTGTCAGTATGTACATATATGTATCCAGACGGCTGCATACAATCGCTAATTAAAAGGCATGAATGAACCACTCTGGTTTGTTGAAAATGGAAGTTTCGGCTTCGTAATTAAGCTAATTTTTCGACTTAAAAAAAAAAATGTAACTTATAGTTCCGTTAGCAAAAACTAAATGCTGACATTTTAATTTGATTACCGTTAATGATTAGTATTGCTCTCTGGAAGCTTCATCAAACCAAACAAAATGAAACTGATTTGTTTACTTGTCTAGCAATCGGATACTCATTACGCTCATTAAATTACGCCAAATGGTGCTGGAAGTTTATAGCTTTTAAGTTTCGGAAGTGTGCTTTCATACTCATAAAAACATAGCATGTGGTAAATGTGTTTGTGATACATTTTTCCTTACCCTGAAGGAAAATGTGCGACTAATCTCTAAAGAAAGTACACCCGTCTTGGTTTCCATGGAGTACAATTGCGCATGATTTAAGTAATCTCCAATAATCTCCCACACGTTGGGGTTTAAAAGGCAGAATCCATATATGTAATACTTCTATATTGGCAGTAAGCTAACTTCTCAATTTGTAAGCAATCCGAAATCAATGTAGTACCGTTTTTGTGAATTTATTGTGTACGTGAGTACCGTTTTCTTATACATATGTGTTGTGTACATGTTTATTTATAAACGTACATATGTGTTACTTTTCTTTCGTACGTATTTATTGATATGTATATCTGTACTGTAATGTTTTCGTACGGTACTAACTCTTACTGCTTATAGGCCCGTCAGAATGGGTACTTGTACGTCAATAACGGAAAAGTATGCGAAGGAAATGGCGTACGTACCGTAGAGATACGTCACATTGAAGGCGTTGCGTCTGCAAACAAAAACCAGCTGTTCCTTATGGCCCCGCGTACTTGGGGTTTACACAAGTCAATTTTTCAGATACAATAGGAAAACATTCACATTTTTTTTTTTACTAATATATTCCCACTTATCTTGATGTCTTCATCACTGTCTCTGGCTTTTCGATGATAGTTTATTGTCTGGATGCCTACTTTGCTCAAAAAATGCGTAAATTATGTGCATATTCTCATTGGTCTTGTCTTGTGTAAACGCGGGGTTATACAACTGTCAGCAGTGACGGACTTACATGCATCAAAAGTTGAGTGTTGGCCAACGCTCGTTGGGTCCGTCGACACAAGGTTTGCCAATCTGACGCTCTCTATGCCAACACAACCCACACAGTCTACTCAACTGTCAGTTTCATCATTGAGCGGAACGTATGCAAAGTACCCATTCCGACGGGGTACTGAAAAAAACTATTTATGCATGTATCTAAATGTGTACATATTTATGTACATATATACATTAGACTGCATCACCAAAAAGAGTTGCGGTTTTTCCGTCGGGATTACAAAATGTATTATATTTTAAGACGTCCACTAAAATATTTCGGAAAAATATTAAGATTTAAGCGAGCTGGACCGATTTAAAGTTACCTCCACAAATGAAGTTTTTTATGAATAAAAATAGTTTCTTAAAGAACTTTTTGAAAAAAGTCCCCTCAGATGACAAATTAGAATAAGCTTAAAAAATCTGCATAAAAATATTTAAAAATCTTTTCAACGGAATGTAAGAATGAGATTTTTGATGCTGTTTTTTTACTTTTTTCAAAGATTGATTTACGAAAAACTTGAATAACTGGGCCAAAACTGTTCTGATTTAGACTTATGGGATCTCAGTAGAAAGGTATTTTCACACCGTTTTTATTTCTGGCCAAAAGAAACGTCATTCGTGTCCCATCTTTTTTTTCGAATACCAAAACATCTTAATTCAACTTTGAATGAGGTTCGTTTCTCCTACCTTTCTCTTCCATCCTTTGAATAAGTTTATTAGCAAATAAATGAAAAGGGTGAGAAAATACCTTTCCAATGACACCTCTTAAGTCTAAATCGGAAGAGTTTAGGTTCAGTTATTCAAGTTTTTCTTATACCAATCTTTGAAAAATGTTAAAAACAGCATCATCATTACGATTCCGTTAAAATTTTTTTAATTTTTTTTTAATATTTTTATGCAAATATTTTAAGCTTAAACCGTTTTGCCATTTGAGGGGATTTTTTCAAAAAAAATCTTTAAGAAACTATTTTTATTCATAAAAAAACCATTTTTGGAGGTATTTTCAAATCGGTCCAGCTCACTGAAATCTTAATATTTTTCCGAAATATTTTGGTGGACGTCTTAAAATGTAGTGGAAAAATAGTACCGATTATTTTTTGTATGGGGAGTGATGCAGTCTAATATACATATGTACGTACATATGTATATTTTGATAAGTTTTTGCACATGATCAGCTTACTATAAATATTGAATATATATATTAATATTGTTTGATTTTCCACTTAACGCCCTTAAATGCATTCATTTACACCTGATTGATAGACACTCAACCGTTGAAATGGTTGCGTAAACATCACAAAGCTAGAATTTAATACTGTAGTTATGTGTGTGTACCTGTGTGTATATGTTTGTAAGCGTACGAGGCAGTGAGGGACGAATGCGTTGAAAATATTTGCGATATATATATATATTCTTTTTTTTTTTTAAATAAGCGAAGTACTTACAAAAATTATGTAGCAAACAATGAAATTAGCAACGTAATCATAAAAAATAATAAAACTAAAGCAGTGATGAGCCAATGACCTGGGTTATCGATTTGACTCTAGTATTTGCTGTTTAACTATCGCCAATAAGTGATAAGTAAAGATTTGCGCTCAACTCAAAACAAAAAAAAAAATCAGTAGCGACTTGTGTAATTCGAAAATTTTTAAATTTGTATAAATATGATTGTGGGATGGGTATGTAAGGAGCACAGTACATACAAAAAAAATACAAAAGCAGGTGTACATATATACATATATATATGTATGTACTTAGTATGTGTATAAATGGACTTACCTCATATCCTTTGATGCGGTAAATTTGCTCGTTTCGCACCAGATAGACAAGCGCTAGCGGCAGCAATGCAATGGCGGTGAAAACTAAAAAATACCGCCGAACGGCGCGCCAATGCGAGGTGGTTAATCTCATTTACTTAACCGCCGTCCGTTCACCGTGGCGACACTACAACGCCAGTTGTTGATTGTTTCTTTGATGCGAAGTGCAATACATGCGGCACAATTTCCTCTGCACCACTGATTTTACTTATTGTTTGTTAATATTTTATAGCACTTTTGTCTGATTTATTACTAGCTGTGCGATTAGTCTGCAGACAACGACTGGAAAATAAAGTTCACAAATAAATTTATGAAATTTGTATGAGAAAGTGGCAAATAGATGTTTTGCACATATGTATGTATGCGCGCGTATGTGAGTGCAAAGGTGCAGCGGCAACCTGCCACTTTGTGCCATCGCACATAAGGCAAAATTGGCGATTTAGCTGCACAAAAATCGAAAATGGCGATAATATTTTTTTATCGTTTTTCGTAACTTAGTGACGAATTACGAATTACAAAAATTCGGGTTCTAGAATAAGGGTGTTAATGTCTATGAAAATACGTATGAACTTTGCTTAATCTTTGGCTAACTAAGGGACACTAATAGTTATGAAGCAACGTTTTGCATTATGCTACTAAAGTACCCGCAACTTGCCGAATGAATATTTTGCACACATGTGTTCAGTAATTTACGAATGTATTTCGTAAAATAAACGTAAGATTTCGTAAATTGCACCAAAAAAACGCCTTACGAAAGTCCTTCCGTTATATTTACGAACGGTTCGTTAAATCTTGTTTCTTTGTGAAAAATGTGTTCGTATTATGAACGAAAGTTTCGTACATTGTACAAAACCCAAGACCACGAAGGTTTTTCGTAGCACTTTTACAAAAATTCTTCAACATCTCGCTGATCTGCGCCCATGCCCCGACGGAAGAGAAGGATGAGGCATCCAAGGATCTCTTCTAAGAGCGCTTGGAGCGCACATACGAGCGCTGCCCATGATATCAAAATCATGCTTGGCGACTTCAATGCCAGGGTGGGCAAGGAAGGGATCTTTTTTAACCACCGTCGGAAAATTCAGCCTCCACGACGAAACATCCGACAACGGATTGAGGCTGGTCGACTTCGCCGGGGCCCGAAACATGGTAGTATGCAGTACTAGGTTCAAGCATAAAAAGATCCAGAAAGCTGCGTGGCTGTCTCCGGATCGAAAAACGAGAAACCAAATCGATCATGTTGTGATAGACGGAAGGCACGCTTCCA